TGCTCAATGACAATTAGATGGTTAATACTAAAAGAAATTAGTTTTGACTAAAATTGCACAAAACTAATGACCATTGTGCAATTTTCTTATTTGGGATTTGTTTTTTTTAATCTTACATAAAGATATATTTATATTTATATATGAGAGAATAAATTGGTATTGAGCTTTCATTCGAGAGATTTAAATCTATGATCTTTTACTTATAAGTGAATAGAAATATATCACCCGATCATATTACAAAGTGACACATACTATTTTAACAATTGAAAACTAACAATATCAATTATTGGTGGAATTTTTTTAAGTGTCCCTCCAATTGAATAATTACATGTGGTGTATTGTCGTGAATTCTGGGGACACTGAAAAATCTATCCACCCAACATACTGAAAGCGCTTTTAAATAAAATATTTTTGAAACTAAACCTTGGTAAAAATGTGTTTCTTAGTATTACGGTATAATGATATTTCTATTTACGTCTAAGTGAGAGGTCGTAAGTACGATTTTAGTCATAGGCCGAACTTGAAGCACATTATTGTTAGCCCGTGATGAGACTTAGTCTACCACATAACTAGTAATTTTAGCAGAAATCACTTCAAGTACTTTTGAAATTGAAAAATATTTTATCTAAAAACGTTTTCAGTTATTTAAAATCATTTGCCAAACGAGTGTTCTACCAATGAAAAATCACTGAGCCTAGTTAGCAACTTGATTAATCTCAATGGACAAATAAAACTTACTACAAACTTTCGATCAAAGATACAAAGTTAAAAGAAAAAAAAAGAGAAGAAATTATGTACAAACCACATTTTAGTTCCCTACTTCCCTGAATAATTTGAATTTCTGGCAGCCAGCCTGAGATTCTCCGCCACATTGTCCTACTTTATTGTGTCGGTGGCTTACCCCGAAACGAATGTACATAAAGTATTCCCACTGACGACTGCAGATTCAAGTGTAGTCAGTGTCAGTACAAGTGGTTGAACAGAGTCACAACAACTCAGCTCATCTCCTCCGAATTTCCACCAGATTACATCAATCGTTACAAAAACTAAACCCTTTTTGCAGCTTTTAATCATCACACAGATTACAGTGAGAGAGGTTTTTGGATGCAAGTGAAATGTTGGTCCAGGACCGCCCAGCTTCAAAAACCCCCAATCCCTCCAAAACCCAGCAACCATTTCACTTTTCTCATCCCAAAACCTTGATTTCCCCCAATTGGGTCTCCTTCAATATCTTCAAGATCGCCACTTTCTCACTCCTAACACTCACCATCGCCACCCTCTTCTTCCTCTACAACTCCAACGACTCCCCCTCCACCTTCCTCTGCTTCAAATCCCACCTCCACGTCCCCAAACCCCTCCAATACCCCACTATCACCTTCGATTCAATCCGACCCATCTCCGATAAGTCGTCCGTTTACGCTTCTTTCAGGTCCGATCGATGGATTGTGGTCTCCGTTTCGGATTACCCTTCCGAGTCACTTCGAAAGCTGGTCAGAGTCAAGGGCTGGCAGGTCCTTGCAATTGGGAATTCGAGGACCCCCGTGGATTGGAGCCTCAAGGGAGTCATTTACTTGTCAATGGATGACCAAGCGAAATTGGAGTTTCGGGTTTTGGACTACCTTCCTTATGATTCTTATGTGCGGAAGAGTGTTGGGTACCTTTTCGCTATCCAGCACGGCGCGAAAATGATATACGATGCTGATGATCGCGGGGATGTGGCGGATGGTGATCTCGGTAAGCACTTTGATTTGAAATTGTCAAATGTGGATGTAATGCAGGAGAGGATTTTACAGTATCCTAATGAAAACCCCAATAGAACTGTTGTGAATCCGTACATTCATTTCGGGCAACGATCAATTTGGCCTAGAGGATTGCCTTTAGAAAATGTAGGTGAAGTTGCGCATGAAGGGTACTATGGTGAAGTATTTGGGGGAATGCAGTACATTCAGCAGGGTATATCGAATGGCTTACCCGATGTGGATTCTGTTTTTTACTTCACAAGGAGGTCGGGTTCAGAAGAGTTCGACATAAGGTTTGATGAACATGCTCCAAAAGTTTCATTGCCTCAAGGTATGATGGTGCCATTGAATTCTTTTAATACGTTGTTTCATTCGAATGCATTTTGGGCTTTGATGCTTCCTGTTTCGGTTAGTACAATGGCTTCTGATGTATTGAGGGGTTATTGGGCACAAAGGATATTGTGGGAGATTGGTGGTCATGTTGTTGTCTATCCTCCAACTATATATAGATATGACAAGATTGAAGCATACCCGTTTACGGAAGAGAAGGATCTTCACGTAAATGTGGGACGATTAATTAAGTTCCTGGTTACTTGGAGATCTACTAAGATTAGGTTGTTTGATAAAATTTTGGAATTGAGTTATTTGATGGCGAAAGAAGGGTTTTGGACTGAGAAGGAGGTGAAGTTCACTGCAGCTTGGCTTCAAGATTTGCTTGCTGTGGGGTATATTCAGCCGAGTCAGAAGGTCATGAATTTGGATAAGCCAAGAACAATCATTGGCCATGCAAACCAGAAGGAATTTATTCCTCGAAAACTACCTTCTGTGCATCTTGGGGTTAAGGAATCAGAGACGGTGAATTATGAGATAGGGAATTTGATTCGGTGGAGGAAGTTTTTTGGCAATGTTGTTATGATCTTGTTTGTCAGCGGGCCTATGGAACGAACTGCCTTGAAGTGGAGATTGCTCTATGGAAGGGTATTTAAAACTGTGGTGATTTTGTCGGACAGTTCTGAAGATAAATTCGGTGTGGAACAAGCTACATTGGACCAAGTATACAAGTAAGTTACTAGTTATGCAATGGTTTCTTTGTTGTCGTTGCCAACTTCCACACATTCATAAGTTTCGTTGTTGTCGTCATTTTTTAAATGTATATTATGCTGCCCTTACAATTATGCAAATGGTATGTAGGTATCTCCCCAAGATATATAACAGGTTTACAAGTGCTGAAGGATTCTTGTTCCTCGAGGACAATACCGTTCTCAACTACTGGAATCTACTGCAAGCAGACAAGACTAAGCTGTGGATTACCAACAAGGTAGTGCAAAATCCCGAGTACAAAACCCTGAATTTTAAACCAACACTGACTGATCATTCATGCACTCTCTTGCAGGTGCCTCAGTCTTGGATTACATCCTCAGTCAACGGTAAAGACTTGGAATGGTTGTCGAAACAAGCAAATATGGTAAAGAAAGTTGTCAGCACTATGCCAGTCCATTTACAGGTCAACTACAAGGAGAGCAATCCAAGGGAGCAGAGTCTCGTTATGTGCAGCTCCGAGGTATTCTATATTCCTCGACAATTTGTTGGGGACTTTGTCGATCTTGTAGGTCTCGTGGGAAATTTTGAAATCCACAATAAGGTAGCAGTTCCCATGTTTTTCATGGCAATGGATTCGCATAATAACTATGACTCAGTGCTCAATACAATGATTTATAAGCCAGAGGCATCATCTAGCAACTCTTCAAGTATTTATTCTGCTCAAGTCGCAGCTGTCCATCCGTGGACCGTTTCCAGTGAGTCTGATTACATTAAACTTATAAGGTCCATGGCGACGGGTGACCCTCTACTGATGGAGCTGTTTTAAATCACGGTAGGAAACTTTATACACTCCCATTTTGTATGAGGCGTCTCAAACGAGATTGGTACTCGAAACAAAGGATCATTTGGTTCGAGTAGGCTTTAATTTCTTCCTAGTTTCCTTTTTTTCTTATGTACATATAGAATTTTCTTTCGCCGGTATGATTCCAGTCTTTGATGTTAACTCGTGTCTTACAATTCGTATTTGAGCTGTCGATGTATCGAATGAGAAGCATCGTTACATTACCGGTTCAGTGTAGCCTCTTTTTCGTTGTTTACTTCATCGATTTATGCCAATTTTCTGCCCCTTTATTTTGCTAATCATTGATGATGGCGATTAGACAACTAAATGCAGGATAAATCAGTATTAACTATAAAATTAAAGCCCTGTTATTCTTATGGGAGCATGTTTGCTCATCACCATAAACTATGCTCACTATACATCTAATCAATTGACACGTATTCTTTCATCTAACTCTAGTTAACTTTCACATTAAATGTTAGTTTTTCAATTTTGAAAAAAAATTCACCAAGATTAAGTGAAATGACACGTGTCAATTGATTAAGTGTATGGTGAGCATACACCATTATGGTGGTGAGCAAAAATGATCTCTATTCTTATTTGCTCCAAAAAAAAAAGCAAGCTACATGTGAGTTAAACTTGGAGATAGAAATCGTTTTTTTATTTCTCGACATTTCCATCCAATTAAGAATGCGGTTGCAATTAAGAAATTGAGTTCAAATTAAAATAACGAAGTATGACAATATTCACCAGTGTACTCAAATATCTATAACAAACAACCAAATTAATACATCAAGCATATTGGAGTTGCATCCATACTACGAACATAGTATTCAACTTACACATGTATGGTTATATTATTCGTCTCCTTGCAATTACCAAAAGTGGGTTAAGTGAAATTATCGATTAGTTCGGTTGGTAAACGGAATTCACAAAATCCCTCAATATTTAATCCAACAGACTATTCATTTTTCTTTTGGAAATTATTATTAGCACTCCAAATGTAACAATCATTTCCTAATTTTACAATTTTATTAATTTTTTAAAAAGTAATATGACGAAAATGCCCCTAGAGGCGAGGATGTCGACTTTTGTTGACCATTGTATAACGAGACGTATGAAAAATTCTTTTACCGAATCCTTGTAGTAATCGACATTACAAATACGTAAGCGCAAGTAAAAATGAATTCGGAGCTACAACGAAGATTCTACAAAGCATTGAATGCCGAGAATAATTTTGTAATTTCACTTCACGAAGAAATTTTTCTATCTCTTATATATATATATATATATATATAATATATATATATATATATAATATTATTTTTATGACTTTGGATTGTGTGCCAAGTGGGGCCCACACCCCCACTCTTCTCTCCAATTTTCAGGAAACACCCACCTCTCATCTCTCTCTCACAACTCTCCTTCTCTCCCTCTCATATCTCTCTTCACTCTCTCTTTCACTTCGAGCACACATACGCACAACCAACAACCACAGGGACTGCATTCTCATGACATTTGGGAGCCTTGCGAACCAGAAACCGTGGAGAAAACCCCTCATTTACCTCTCCCTCGCACTGGACAGTAGCAGCCACTGTGCTTGTGTCTCTCTGGCGAGTTCTCAGTCTCCGGCGAACACCACCGTCGACCACCACCGTGGTTCGACTTCCTTGAGGCCAGGAACAAACCCCAAACAAGTTTAGGGGCGGCAAAGCATCGGAGGAGACGGATCGACAACCACCCATTTCTAGGGTTCTGACGGTTCGTGATGGTTTTCAGACCACTTCTCAGCCGAATTGGACTTCGGCCAGGTATAAAAGTTGTTCCTTTCATTGAAATTAAGCACAAATCACATATTTTTCTAATCTATCGTTGTTCTCCGGAGGGCATTGATTATGACAGTATCGTTGTTCAAAATCTGTAAGTAAATAACTTATTATATTATTTGTGTAAAATTATTGTATTTGAACATAACTATTTTGCATATTTTGTTTTAATGTTGCACCTTGTTAATTCTATTTTATCTTATATTTTGAGTATAGGATACCTATTGAATTGACAATGGTTTCTGGCTACGCGGTTGTTGTGTTGGCCGGGATTATGATCTCCACATGATGGCATTGAATGATGTGGGTTGTGTTTAGCAACTAGATGGCCTATTTGATCCCACTGATGCTCATGATTTTTCTGATGGAGAAAGTTTATGTAAAAACTTGTCTCAATTGAATTGTTATGTGGTTGACAAGTCAAAATTGGATGGGAATTGTCATATCATTGCATCAAGGGACATAAGAGATTTGGAGTACGTCTTTGTCGGATTGCCCACGTTAAGATTTCTTGATTCACTTATTTTGGATGAGGAATCGATAAACTTTGATAGGTGACTTCTGCACTTTCGTTTGTTTTCCTTTCATTTGATTATGTTTATGCCTAGTTACTAGGTTACATTATAGTATTTGATGAATAAACTGTGATTTTGCCTAGTTACTGATATCAGATTCTTCACTCAGCATTGGCTCCTTACTGATTATAATTTTGTATCTAATTTTAATTTTCGTTTGTCATTACGAGTATAATTGGAATTTTCAATTGTGCACCTATAAATTTTCTCAAATATGCAGATCGGATGACTACTACTAGCCTTAAGGAGATCACTACTCTAGGTCCTTTCACCTCAAGATCTTTCTTATACTCTGACGATTAAGGTGATGTTGCATTTGGAAAATATATTCATGTGATTTTGCTTTACGTTATAAATCGACTATTTTTCCATTCGTGTCTGGATTGCTAACTCTACAACAACAACAACAACAAAGCATTTTCCCACTAAGTGGGGTCGGCTATATGAATCCTAGAACGCCATTGCGCTCGGTTTTGTGTCATGAATGGAAAAAGAGTTAATTTATAACGTAACGCAAAATCACATGAATATATTTCCCGAATGCAGCAACACCTCAATCGTTAGAGTATAAGAAAGATCGTGAGGTGAAGGGATTTAGAGTAGTGATCTCCTCAAGCCTGGTACTAGTCCTGAAAATTTACAGGTGCACAAGTTAAAATTCCAATTATACTCGTAATGACAAACGAAAATTAAAATTATATACAAAATTATAATCAGTAAGAAGCCAATGTTGAGTGAAGGATCTGATATCAGTAACACAGTTTATCGATCAAATACTATAATGTAACCTTGTAACTAGACATAAACTTAATCAAATGATTATTCAAAACAAGAAGAAGAGACAAATGAAAGGAAAACAAAACGAGAGTGCAGAAGCCACCTATCAAAGATTATTGATTCCTTATCCAAAATAAGTGAATCAAGAAAGCTCAACGTGGGCAATCCGACAAAGATGTACTCCAAATCTCTTATGTCCTCTGATGCAATGCCGTGACCATTCCCATCCAATTTGACTTGTCAACCACACAACGCTTCAATTGAGACAAGTCTTTACGAAAAATTTCAACATAAAAAAAATCATGAGCGTCATAAATGGGATCAAATAGGCCATCTAGCTACTGAAAATAACCCACTTCATTCAACGCTATCATGTGGAGAACATAACCCTCAGCCAATACAGGAACCACATAGCCATAAACCATTGTCAATTGAATAGGTATGCTATATTCAAAATATAAGATAAAACAGAGTTAACAAGGAACAACATTAATGCAAAATAGTTATGTTCAAATACAATAATTTTACACAAATAATACAATAAGTTGTTTACTTACAAATTTTGAACAACGATACAGCCATAATCAGTGCTCTCCAAAGAACGATGATAGATTAGAAAAATATGTGATTTGTGCTTAATTTCATATAACGCACTCTTGTAAGTAGAAATAAAGTCACAAGGTGGCTGCCCCCATAAGGATATGAGATGGCCTTACATTGCCAACTCGTGATCATCCCGAGACAAAGCTTCCTCAGTTAAGGGAGTAGCTCCAGCAATTAGATCAGCAGCTACATTGTCATTTCCAGTTTTATAATGTATTTCACAATCGTAACCCAAAAGTTTGGTCACCCATTTTTGCTGAAATGGAGTGTGAGCCCTATTATGAGAAGATACTTGAGGTTGTGATGATCTGCTCGAATCATAAAGTGCCGGCCCTGTAAATAGTTGTGCCACTTTTTAACTGCATGTACAATTGCAACAAGCTATCGCTCGTATATAGATAAGGATTGATTTTGAGGACCTAATGTTTGGTTAGAGAAGGCAATTGGTCAGCCTTTTTGCTGCAAAACTACACTGATTCCTTGCCCTGAGGCATCACATTCAATCTCAAAAGGAATTGAGAAACCAATGGTAATGGATTTTTAATTGAGAGATCATTGCTACAATTTGCTTTTTTAAGAATCTCTTAAAATGCATATTGAATCTCTGAATTTGTAGTAAAAATTAAAATCTCTTAAAATTTCAATTAAATACACTTCTCCCGTAATATGCGAGTGATTTATATTTTTGTTTATAAGGAGAATTGGGTAAAGTGTAAAACATCTAATATAGTTTTTATGTTTTTTTGTCTCTCATGAGAATAAACATTGCGATTTTGACATTAATTAGTTAATTCTATTGGATTTGGTACTCATGATGAATAACGGGTTCAAAGGATCATTTTATTGTGTCACATTTGGTTAATTCTATGTCATTTTATTTTAGAATTCTACATTTTCACTCAAAAATGGTAAACAAACTTTGTAATGTGATGCCAACAAAATATGATAAGTTTTGAGTCAAGAGCATGAGCATGACAATGCATTAGTGGCATGTTTACCAAACCAGAATGAAAGACGAGGAAACGGAATTGCACGAACTCCAAGTCATTCCAGTGTTTACCAAACCGTAGGGAATCAACATTCAGGTGGGACCCACCCAAAATCCGGAATACAATTCCTTAAGGCCATCTCTAACCGAAGGGTTAAGAGGGCCAGATGGCCGAAAATAGCCCTAAAACCGTCTCCAATCGAGGGCTAGGCCAGAGGGCTCTTGAATCTCGGAGGGCCCCACGGGATCAGAGGGGGCTGGAGGGCTGGCTGCTTTCGGCCAGTCAGCCAGCCCCGGGCTGGCTATTTTTTTTTTAATGTTTTGTTATTCCTGTCGGTTATAACCGACATGAATACATGCTATTATTTAATATACTAAATAATGGTGTATTCCTGTCGGTTATAACCGACATGATTGTTTTAAAAAAAATTCTAATGAAACGGCTACTAGCCGTTGCATTTGATTTGTTTTTTTTTTTGTTTTTACATTATTATTATTCTTTTTTATTTACAACATTTTTCATATAACTTCTATTTTTTCCTATAACTTCTATTTCACAAAATTTGGTTTTTTTTTAAATTCCATTTTTTTCCTATAAGTTCTATTTCACAACTTCTATTTCACAAAATTTGTTTCATATTTTTTTTTCCTATAACTTCTATTTCACAAAATTTACTTCATATTGTTTTTTAAATTCCATTTTTTTTCCTATAACTTCTATTTGACAAAATTTGTTTCATATTTTTTTTAAATTCTATTTTTTTCCTATAACTTCCTAAGCCATTATACAACATTAAATTAAATTAAGTAACATGAAACAACATTAAACTATATGAAACAACATTAAATAAAATTAACCAACATAAAAATTATACAACATGAAACTTAAACAACATTTTAGTTGTAGTTTTTAAATAATAAATTATGTTTGGCCCTATGGCCCTTTGACCCTTAGTTGGAAATGGTTTTTTGTGATAGGGCTAAAACGAGCCCTCTGGCCCTCGGTTGGAAACGGAGGCAAATATGGCCCTGTACTGTTCATTAAAATATTAATATATTTGAGAATCTTGGAGGGCCATAGGGCTAAAACGAGCCCTCTGGCCAGCCCTCAGTTAGAGATGGCCTGACTACCCAGAAATGGATTCTCGACTTGGGAGGTGGGAATTGAGTTCCTGGAAATATATTCATCAAGGATCGAAGTTTCTACCAATACTATACTCACGCTTTTTTGGTAAACCCAAATACCCCTCACAATTTCACCACCCAGTTCCATGAGCAGTCTATAGACCCATCTCTCTTCTCCCCAATCCCACCATTTCCAAACAGAGGAGCTTCGACTCCGGTGAAATCCCAACCCCTTTCTCCTTGCCCCGTCGTCGCAGACTATCCAAAACTCATGCATGAACTCACAAAGAGAGGGGAAAATGTATGGCGTGGCCGCATGGTCATCTAAGAACAGGGGGTGGGGAGGGTTGTGATAGGTGGTGAGGAGCTGGGTTTGGGGATGTAGGGGGGGAGAAGATGGCGTCGCAGCTTTTTGTTTTTTTGGGTTTTTTTTTATGTTATATTATATTTTTTTAAATTTGTGTTAATTATTTATTTCGCTAAATAGTTATGTTTTCATGTAGCTAATTGGATTTTATGAGCATATGTGGTTATCAAAATTAATCATTAACTAGCATATAAAAATATAATTTATAACAAGGGCAGTTTAGTAATCAAATAGGTTTCAATTCCAATTCATGCGAGTGAGTAAACAACTTTTATGTAATCAACATCATTTTTATTCTGATTCCAGATAGTTTAGTAAACAGCTTCAACATGAATCCAATTCTGATTCCACCTCATTCCATCTCTTCGTCAATTTAATTCATCCTACTATGATTACGGATTAGTAAACGGACCATAGATTCTTCAAATTTAAATTGACAAAAACACATATGAGCTCTAGAGTTAATCTCAAAACCCGTAACATCTATTTTTTCACACATATTGAAAAAAACAAAACATAAAACTGTTATATACAATGTGATAAAGAAAGAAAGCCTCTCGCATCCCCATTATACTTTTATATTTGTTTTTTTGTTTTACAAGTTTATTTTATTTTAGGGTTAATCTCAGTTTACTATTTTAAAGTTTTTTGATTTTCAATTTGGTACATGAAGTTTTTTGCATCCTAGAGCAGTACATAAAGTTATAATTTTGGGACATGTTCATATGTTTGTTAAGGTTGCTGTTAAATTTGCTGTTAACTAATGACGTGACATCGACATGAACAATGACTGCGCGCCTCGTGGATATTAAAAAATAAAAAAAATAAAAAAACTTTTGGGCGTTTCTCCCTCACCCCTTTCGACCCCCATCCTCTCCTTTCTCTCCTCTGCACCCACCCTCACGGCCTCACCCTCACCAAATCACTCCCACACTCCCAATGGAGGAAGAAGACCAGCAAAAAGCTGCAGATTTTTAAGCTTTGCGGCGACGTTGAGGGTTTCTATTTCAAGTTGGATTCGTTGAGGGCATCGACGATGGCGAGGCCGATGCCTTTGGAATCCAATTTGTCCCAGTGGATGTGTTTGGATTCGGGTTTCAGGGTTCTGGGGGTGTTCAATTCGAACCAGAAACAGTTTGTTTCATGATGGAGGTTGGGCTCATTACGGCTTCAGATTCAAAGACGGCTTTCGAGGTGAAGCTAGTGAACAATCTTGAATTCGCGAAGAAAGAGGAAGTGAGTTTGTGTGTTTTTCTTTGGGAGAGAGAAGATAGTCGTTTTCCACCATTGGAGCTCACTCGCTAGCTTGCTCTAGTTCTTGAAAAATCCTATAAAAACAAAATCCCTCTGCAAAACAAGAAAAATAACTACGAAATGCACCCAAAATTAATACTTGAATCGATTTTTACCCAGTAAATTACTCACAAGCTTTGAAGCTCTGGAAAATGGCAGAAAGTTGTAGACTTTAAGCTCTGCGGTGTTAGAAAAAGCTTGGTGGTAAGGGTGGGTATCAAGGAAAGGGAAGGGTCGAGGGGTGGAGCTGTGGAGGGGTTGGAGGAGATGAAGGGGTGTTAGGTGGGGAAGACTGGATTATGGTTTTTTTTTTAATTAATTAATTATTTTAATATTTTAAATTTGGGCGATTTTTTATTTTTTGAATTTTTAATTTCCACGTTGACCCTTAATGACACGTGGCGTCCAGTCATTATCTACATAGGTGTCACGTCATCAGTTAACTGGAGACTTAACAGCTAGACTAACAGATGTATGAGACTGTCCAAAAAATTAACACTTTAGGTATAACTCGGGGACGAAAAAAATTTCATGTACTAAACGTTGAAAATCACGAAACTTGAGGGTAGTAAACTAAGATTTACCCTTTATTTTATTACCACATGGCGTGATTTTATTGGTGCATGTTGTTGACATGCTGACATCTTAATGACAAATTGAATTTTTTTTTTTGGACAATGACAAATTGATTTTAGGAAAAATTTGAAATAGGTCCAATTTTATAGACTTACTTTTGAAATAGATCTAATTTTTAGTAACTTTTGACTTTTGAAATAGGTCCAATTTTTAATAACTTTTGACTGCTGAAATAAGTCTAATTTTTAGTTACTTTAGACCCATATCAAAAGATACCTTGATTTTATAAGTGAGACAAGTCTGAATGTGAGGGCTGAGGAGTGGGCTTAAAGAGTTGGTGTAGAAAATTACAACCGCGGCGAACATGTCACGCACATTTAATTTAGATGCTCAGTCTTCACGCGTTTCCGAAAAACTCGGAAATTATGGTGGAAACCGAACGCGCTTTTATAAATTATTCTTATTGCACAAAAGGCCCCGATATTTTCTTATATTTATATCTTTGTCTTGTCTGCTTATTTAATTTAGAGTTGTCCCCTTCAATATTATTTTTTTCCAATTCGAATAAATTTGGCACTGTATGTAGTCAATTGACTAAAATGTACTTCAATTTAGAACATGGGAATTGATTAAAGTAGTATTTTAGATTGGAGAAAGTGCAATACTAGAAACTACTTTTAAAATAATTAAAAGATTTTTTGGTAAAAATGTTTTCAGAACCAATTCTCAATAAAAACACAAGTGAATCTTAAAAGAGTACTTGAAATGTTTTCTAAAAAAACACATAATTGGTGCTTCTTCATTTGGATTTTTTTCTCATACTTTTACATGACATAAGATATTATTCCATATATAATAAGGAACTTTAATTAAAAACCACATTTTTACACTAAAAAGTCAATCATGGTACTGCTCACATTACCCTTTATTTTGTCATTTTCGTTAAAACTTAAAGTTTTCAAATCATTTTCATTAATTTTCTTTATATAATGTGGCTTTCTGAAAAGAAAAAAAAATTATAATTAGAGATCGATGCAAGTACAACTATGTGAATGAAGTTTTAGATCAACATACACTCCTCTGAAAGAATATTCCTCTAAACTCAACTTGTCAAAACCTTTAACAACTAGAGTCATCATTTACAAAAATAGGTCATCTCTTTGCCTTGAAGAAGAGAT